TGCTATGAGGGAAATGATTTAGTATGAAGTCTCCCTTTGTTCAAATTCAGTATTCCTGCCTGTGGCACCTTTTTCTCCTGGTGTATTGATTCCATTATTTTATAAAGATCATTTAGATATCCCTTCCTTCAAGCAAAAGTACTCAGTAGTTCAAGAGGAAGTATTTTTACATGTAGTATAATTGAGATAAAATTGGAAATGTTCCACCCTACTACCACCACTTAATGCCACTATTCTTACCAATTTTACCAATAAGTAATATTGAAAGCTTGCTATGTGCCAATTCTCCTCACAAGCTTTTTATAGGTATGGTAGTATTTGCTCCACTTTACAGAACATGACAGTGACGTATGGAGATGTTAAGTCACCTGTTCAAAGTCACACAGCTAATTAGATAGAGTGTGATAGTTAAGGTTGTGTGTCAATTTGGCTGCACCATGCCTCTCAGTGGCTTGGCAGTTTTGATGTTGTTATACCCCATGATGAGATCTGATGTAATGTGATCACCTCCATGATGAGATCTGTTATCAGCAGCCAATTAGTTGAAAGGGAGTTTCCTCAAGGATATGGCCTGCTTCCAACATATATGGACAACTTAGCAAAGATCCCTGGCTTTCTGCTGGATCTGGATCCTGCATCTGGCTCATCATCATGTCTGGTTCCCAGACTTGAACCAGTGGCTTACCATATTGCCTGGTGATCTTGGGATTGTTGCCTTCAAAGACTGAGCTCACAGCCTTCCATCTTATCTGTCAATCTTGGATTCCTCAGCCTCTGAAGCCAGCAGACTTCTGTATTGCCTGCTGATCTTGGGTTTGTCAGCCCCTGAAACTACCTGAGGCAGAAAATCCTATATCTTGGCATCTGACCCACAGACTTGGGACTTGCCAGCCTCTGCAACTGTGTCTGCCATTTCCTTATGGTAATTTTTTTTTTCTCTCTGTTCTTTCTAACTCAGCCTAAGATATTTGGTACTGAGTGTGGTTCTAGAGAACAAAATTGTAAGGCTGGCTTTTCTAAATTGATTCTCAAGTTTACTTAGGCATAAAGGTGCTGATGACTCTACCTCCATCAGTAAAGAGAGCACTGCTAATCCATGGCATGAGGTGGCAATTTTGATTACTAATATTAATATACTAAATAGCACCACCAACAGATCAGGAATTGGTCAGAAGTGAGGTTTTGGGTGATGGCAAGTTTGATACTTTTCTGCAATTTTGTCAGAATGAGAAGTGTAAGGAAGCTAGTTGGCTGGCCATACTTACCCTAGACAAAGAGGTAAAAGAATGAGATGAGCTCAGGGCTTTGTAGTCACAGCTCAAGTGCTGCATAAAAGTGCTGCACAATGCTTCCACTTGTGCCTGAAAGAAAATCAGATTTCTTATAGTAACAGAGTTGATATTGCTGAAAAACAAACCAAGTCTTATTGTAAGAGTGGATGAATTACAATGCCAGTTGAATTGCCCACCTCAAATGGTGTTTGAGTTAAAATGAGGGCATTGATTGGAAAGAATGAGCCTGAAACTTAGGATGGAGACATAAGGGCAGATAATCAGGAAGCTATGGACATTGAACTCCCCAAATTCTGTTTACTCACTCCTGCCAGCAGAACCAGTTCTCTTACCCCCATCTGCTGAGACTAACATATCTGTGCCTGCTGAGTCATTGTCTGCGATAGCAACTGGGGTGGTGCCTGGGTCATTGTCTAGGGCACTGCTGGAAACAGAGGCATTATGAGACATTGCTGAATGTTCCCAGGAACCATCCTCACCACCAACTGTTGCTTTTAGATCTATAATTAGACTTAAGCCCCAGACGCTCCAAAAGATGAAGTACAAGGTGTGACCCATAAGGAGGAAGGTTACATTCCAAAGAAGCTGCTTGATTTTTCTAATATGTACAAACAGAAATGTGGAGAATATGTGTGGGAATGGTTATTAAGAGTTTGGAATAATGGTGCAAGAGACATAAAGTTGGATCAGTCTGAGTTTATTATTTGGACCCACTAACAAAAGAATCTTCAATGTTTTAGCTTAAGAGGTTAGAAAAGAATCTAATAGTTTATTTAGTTGGTTTATTGAAACATAGATTATGCTGTGGCCTACACTAAGTCTGGTACTAAAGTACCAGACCTGCTTTGATATACTGTGGAAGAAGATACCCAAAGGCTTATGAAAATTGGCACGTTAGAATGGATTTATCAGATTAGACCCATAGACCCACACACAGAGTGTCCTGAGGACACCCTTTTGCCACAACAGTGAGGAAGAAATTTATGAAGGGAGTCTCAGAATCTCTGATAACGGCTGTAATTGCTATTTTATGTAAACTAGACTAGATAGTGAGAACTGCCCTAATTGAATTTAGACACCCTAACTACAGTGTAGGAGCTCTGGTAATGTAGTTCCTAAAGCATTTGACTGCTAACTAGAAGGCTGTCAGAACAAACCCACCAGCCACTCCTTGGAAGGAAGACTGGGCAATCTACTTCTGTAGAGATACCACCTTGGAAACCCAAGGAGAGGTTGCTGTGAGTTGGAAAATGCCTCGATGGCAGTGAGTTTTAGTTTTACAAATGCAAATGATTGGACCCTATGTTGGTAGGGACCAAACGGCAGCACTTAATTGACAGACAAGATGGAGTGGACAAAGACATAACAGACAGCAGATCAAAGCAGAAATTAGAATGGTCTAATGTGTATGGACTTATGGCATTGGCTGCTCAGGCATGGTTCCCAAAGAATGAAATAGATGGAAAATCTACTATTTACTTGATCTGTACAAGTGGAAGTATTCTAGATCAAGTGAAAAGCAGTCTAACTTGAATCACCAGAATACAGTCATAGTCCCTCAGTCAATTCCCAGACTTGAGCCAGTTTACAGACCCATAATCTCTTGAATGAAGGGTAGATTGGGTCCTTTGGAGGAAGGACCACATTATTGCCAAAAATTTATATTGTTAATCTTTTTCCCAGCCTTTCCTGAATGGATTTATGGCCTTTTATGAGAGTGACTGTTCACTGGGGAAAAGGAAATAATCAGACTTAGTACTGGCTTTGAATTGACACTGATTCCAGGGTACCCAAAATGTCACTATGGGCCATAAATCAGAGTGGGGGCATATAGAGGTTAAGTTATTGATGGAGCCTTAGAGCAGGTCCATCTCACAATTGATTCAATGGATCCCCAAACACATCTTGTAGTGATTTCCCCAGTTGTAGAATGTATAATTGGAATAGAATCCTCAGCTGGTGAAATCCACACATTTGGCCCCTGACATGCAGAGGAAGAGCTGTTATGGTAGGAAAAGCCAAGTGAAAGCCATTGCAATTACTCCTACCTAGGAAAATAGTAAACCACAAGCAATATTACATTCCTGGAGGGATTTTAGAGATGAATTCCATCATCAAGGACTTCAAAGATTCTGGGGTGGTGATTCCCACCTCATCCTCATTTAACTTGCCTATCTGGCCTGTGAAAAAATCCTATGGATCTTAGAGAATGACAGTGGATTATCATGAACTTAACCACATGGTGACTCCAATTGCAGCTGTTGTTTCAGATGTGTTTTCATTGCTTGAGTAAATTAATTCATCTCCTCGTACCTGGAATGTAGCTATTGAATCTGGCCAATGCCTTTTTCCCAATTCCAGTTTTGAAGAAGCATCAGAAGAGTTTGCCTTCAGCTGGCAAGGCACTTTCACTGCCCTACCTCAGGAGTATAACAACTCTCCAGCTCTACGTCATAATTTAGTCCTGAGAGAATTTGATGGTGTTTCCCTTTCCATAAGACATAACAGTGGTCCATTACATTGATGACATTATGCTTCTTGGACTTAGTAAGGAAGAAGTATAAATGGCTTTGGACTTATTGGTAGGACATTTTGCTTACCAGAGAGTGGGAAGTAAACCTGACAAAAATTCAGGCTTCCATCTCTGAAATTTCCAGTGGTCTAGTGGTGTGGGGTATGTCAAGATATTCCTACTAAAGTGAAGGATAAGTTATTGCATCTGGCCTCTCCCACAACGGAATCACAGTGCAAACTCTTAGGATTTTGGAGTAAAGCCCTGCCAAACCAAAATAAACAAATAAACAAATTCACTGTCATACAGTCAATTGTGATTCATAGTGACCCCACTGGGTTTCCAAGGCTGAACACCTTTGTGAAAGATTGCCTTATCTTTCTCCTGTGGATCAGCTGGTGGGTTTGAACTGCTGACCTTCTGGTTAGCAGCCAAATGATTAACCACTCTACCACCAGAGCTCTAAAACTCTGCAACCCTATGCCAATAACTATTCTTTTGAGAAACAGCTTTCGGTTTATTACTGGGCCTTCGTAGAGACTGGACACCTACCTAATCATGGGCCACCAAGTCTCCATGTGGCCTGAGCTGCCTATCATGAATTGGGTATTGTCTGAACCACAGAGTCATAAAGTTGGATGTGCACAGCAGCACTAATGAGTCAGAATCAACTCGATGGCACTGTGTGGGTCATAGATAGATAGATAGATTAGATGGACAGATAAACAAATGAGAAGGCAGTGGTGACTCAACAGTAAAATTCTCATTTTTCACACAGGGGACCCGAGTTCAGTTCCCAGACAATGCACCTTATGTGCAGCCACTACCTGTCTGTCAGTGGAAACTGTGTGTTGCCATGCTACTAAGCAGATTTCATTGGAGCTCCCAGACTAAGAAAGATGAGGAAGAATGACCTGGTGATCTACTCCTGAAGGCTAGCCAATAAGAACCCTATAGATAACAATATTCCAATCTGTAACTGATCATGAGGATGGTTCAGGACTGGGCAGCACTTCATTCTTTTGTGCACATAGTCACCAGGAGCCCAGGCCCAACTCGATGTCAGCTAACAACAACATACATACATACAACAACATACATACATATAACAACAACATAATGTATATATATTACCGAAGGTAATAGAACTGAGTTAAATTTCTCAAGTTTTGGGACAAGAAGTCAATAGATACTACTTAAGAGTGGATATAGAGCTAAAAATATAAGCATACCATTAAGTGTTATAGAAAAAAATGATCAGAATAAGTATTTTACTGTACACTTGTCTACACTATTTAAATGTTTTGTTCCCAAGTGTATGTGTTACAATAATAATATAAGAAATATAATATCTTTATGAATATTATGTCAGTGAGAGCATATTGGTGGCGAGAAGCACAAAATTTTGGGTGGCTTTGCAATTTATTACATAGAATAAAAAGTCTGTAGTGTGTTGAATATGTAAAGCTCTGGCTCCATTTTTCTGTGATTGACTTGATTTGCTGCTATTGTGGCCATCACCCTCAGACTCATAGTCAAAAACCCACAGAAGGGTTAGATATAACAATAGTAAGAGATGCTGTTTTGGCCTGCCCAGGTCTCCTTCATTGGGCCAGCATGCTTCTCCCCAAGCTGCTGTGTGAAATGCATACAGCCAGATAGGAGCTACCTTACATTGGAAGTAATTAATAACTATCCATTGCAGGATAGGAGGGAAAGTAGAACAGCAAATAGCTAATGGCTGACTGACATGGAAGTACCATAAGTCAGCCTCTTGCCTCCAGGTAGGACGAATTGCATCACATCCCAGAGTTTCCCATAGGACCAGGCTGCAGCCATCCTCCAGCTGGGAACACATTCTTGCTTAGCTTTTTTTTTTTTCCTCCTGCACCCTATTCTACTTCTCACATTCTTCTCCTCCAAAGAGCACACTGTGAAATACTAACTTTCACAAGAATGTACATCTTGGGTTTTTCTTTAGGGAACCCACCCTAAGGTCACATCTCTATGTTTAACTCATCCTAGACCACCAAATGCCTACCCTTATCCAACTACCCCTCTTGTCTCCTTTGCTGAAATTGCATTACATACCCACCTCAAGATCAAAAGAAATAATTAGTATTATTTAGACTATGCATGAGGAATGGAATAGATTTTGGGGAATCAATCACCAAAACCACAGCAAAGAGTAAGGAATATGATGTGTTCCACAGAGAGAATTTCATTCTTCCCATGGTTTACAGGGTATCAAGTGCATATTTGGTTCTGTATTGGTTCTACCATTCTAAATATGGAATTACAGGGAATGGTGATGAGGAAACATTAAATTATTTAAGTAACTGAGTAATATTTTGAGAAACTAGAGAAGCAGTATTTTTCCAGCTCTTCTCATTCTCAGGCAACTCCAAGACTCTAGTCTCTAAAGTAATTTTTTAACTTTAGTGAGAGAACATTAGTTCTTTGAGAGATGACTCTACAAAAGAATAACACTCCATTTTCTGATTTGCAGTGCACGGTAACACATAGAGTTGAAAAACAAGGCTGCAATTCTTTGCCAAACACAAATATGCTCAGAAATCCTGTCAGATTTAATAGCTCGTTTTGTCCTGAAACCAGAAGGTCAGGACAAAACATAAAAATCAAAGCAGTCAATCTATTACAAACAAAATTCACATGATATGAATTTTTCCAGACATCTACTACATCATTAGTAATAATAAAAATTATCTACTGCTTCAATCTGTGAAGTTAGGAATTTGAAGCAAAGAGGGTTATAGCATGAGGCAGCTCCTTCCCTAATATTCTTGGACTTACCCTCTTCTCATATTTTCAGTTCTATCCTGGGCATAGTTCCATACTCTCTGACTCTCCTTTCACTGTAAGAAAATATAGTGATGTGAAAAAAGAAGTGAGTTAACAGCCAGGAAGATAAAGTTCTTATTATATGAAGAAACAAAATAGATAGCCTTTCCTTCTTTTTGCTTTCAATTTTCCAGCTCTTAAAATGGAGTCATTTTGTTTTGTTTTGTTTTAGTCCTTCCTTGGGAGAAACATGAGGGCGAATTTAAGTATCTGAAAAGTAAAATACATTTCTTACAAGGAGGAAGCAATAAATCAAAATACTGCCTAGTATTCCATCATGTTTTATTTAATTTTAGAAAATGGAAAAGACACTCTGTATAAAATGTAGGGGAAATGAAAGCAATGATAATCTAATAGAGATACTCATCTAATGAAGGAGGTCTTTAAAATGAGTTGAAGAATGTATCATCTTGTGGAAGGGGAGAAATCTGAGTTTGTCCTCTACTTTACTACCTGTTCACTGTGTGACCTTGGGAAAAGTTAAGTCACTTAACTTTTTTAATTTGAACCTTCTTACTTTGGAATATTAAGAAATAATAATAATAATCCACTTCACTATACTCTGGTAGCATAGTGGCTAAGGCATTTGACTGCTAACCAGAAGGCTGGCAGTTCAAACCCATGAGCCACTCCTCGGAAGGGAGATGGGGCAATCTACTTCTATGTGATACTGCCTCAGAAACCCAAGGAGGGGTCGCTATGAGTCGGGTCTGACTCGACGGCACATAACAAAAACATCACTATACGAATAGAGAAATTCATCAAGCTCATGCAATATGACAAGCATTGTGCATAATGTTAACACATATTCTTTATATTCTCTTTCAAAATCTCTGATATAATCACTCTAATTCTCTTGTAATGGAAGTGGTATCACTGTTAAGTGGAAACCCAAACCAACTGGCTAACAAATAGGAAAAATTGATTATCTCCCATAAGAAGAAGTTCCAGGCTCACTGGTGGAACCCCTGAGGCTATGGCCCCTAGCTGCCCTTCAGGTCTGACATTGAAACCACTCCTGTGGCTTCCACCCAAATGAAAGACAAACATAAAACTGAACATTTACATTAGATAGAGATACACTCCTTGGAGAGATCAATCATGGGAGAATAGAATAGCAGTGCATGCATAGAAGACAGCTCAGGGGGCAGGATTACATGGCAGGGAAGGACACAGGGAAGAGGTAACTATGGGGAGAAAGTGGGAAGGGAGCTGTTGCATTGAGGGAAATTTCAGTCAACGTCATGAGACAAAGTGTATGTGAACTGCTGTACGGAAAATGAGTTTACTCTGTAAACTTTCACCCAAATCGCAATAATTTTTAAAAAGAAAAAGAAGAAGATTTACAGAAGGGCTAAATATTTTCCAAGCACCACTTTAGGTAGCCCTACGAACCAGAAATGCAGATGACCCTAGCTAACAATTTCCCATATTTTTTGGTTCTTGATCTTCTCCAACACCAAGAACTAACTTTGCCATGGACAGGACAGGCAATATTACTGACCTTAATTCCCTAATTCCCCTTACCTCCTCTTTTCTGTGGTTAGTTTTACAGCAAACTTCAACTCTGGATATGCTACTACCATATTTAATTTGTGGTAGGAATTCAAGCATCTTGTTCATATCATCCTCCACAGCAAGTTTTCTGTGATCAAAATACACTGAACACATTTACCAACACAAGATGTAGCCATGTTGACAAATAGGAATGATAAATTACTGAAGATAAATCCTCTTTTGTTTCAGGTAAAGTTATTCATTCTTTCAACACGCAAAAGGAAGGGCCAAGTTACAGAAGCATTGGAGAGTGGAAATGTTTGAGGAGCCCGCAGGCACTGAATAAGAAAAGCACAAAATAGAGCCTTTAAAAGGAATAGTTAAAAAGTTATCAAACTCAAACTGTTTAAGCCCGTAAGCAGGAATGGACCTGTGAGTAATGAAAGAAGTGGCAAATATATTTGCTTCCCTGAAAATGGAAATAAAATGTGCTATTCTGGTTTTGTGAAGGAGCTTTGGTAGCATAGTGCCTAAGGCACTTGACTGCTAACCAGAAGGCTGGTGGTTCAAACCC